GCTGGAATCTGAGCCACTGCAACTGATAAACTGAATGTTTGTGTCCCCTCCAAAATTCATACGTTGAGGCCCTTGATACCCAATGTGATGGCATATGGAGGTGAGACCTTTGGGAGGTAATTAGGGTTAGATGAGATCATGAGGGTGGGGCCCTCAGGATCGCCTTAGTGCCTTTATAAAAAGAGACACCAAAGCACTCACTCTCTCTCTCCCTCCCCGCCTTTGAGACCTTTGGGAGGTAATTAGGGTTAGATGAGATCATGAGGGTGGGGCCCTCAGGATCGCATTAGTGCCTTTATAAAAAGAGACACCAAAGCACTCACTCTCTCTCTCCCTCCCCGCCTTCCACCCATGTGCACTGAGGAAGGACCATATGCAACCCAAGGAGAGAGCTCACAAGACACCAATTCTGCTGGCACCTTGATCTTGGAATTCTGGTCTTTAGAACTGTGGGAAATAAATTCCTGTTATTTAAGCCATCCAGTCTATGGTATTTTGTTATAGCAGTCTAAGCTAAGAGATTTTCCTGTCTAGATCTGGTCCATGTCTCACAGTCTATCTCATTACAGAATGTAATAATTAGTCTCAGCTCTCCATAGAAGACTTAATTTTATTTGAGACAAGTTTCATTTTGCTTATTGAAGTTATACAAAGCATAATAAGATTTACATTTTATAAAGTGACTACCATTTGGTTACTCTGAATTTTATTTTGCTTGTGATTTCTCTGGTATCCATAGGTTAATTTTTCCCTTGCTCTGAGGTTCAATGATTGACTATTGAATACAGTATTTATTGACCACCTTTTATGTTATTGGCTCCATTCTATGTCAGGTGATATTGAATTGAACATAATGCCTGTCTTCATAGCATTTACATTTGAATGGGGAGGAGGGTTTGAGGGACAGAAAGCCAATAAACATGTAAACAATTAAACACAGTACATCAGATGTCAGATGGTGACTTCCAATTCTGATCATGAAAAATCATCTTGTATCTGATAAACCATATCACCAAAAACAACTACATGTAAAGCATGAATAAAGCACTGGAGAGCCACAAACTTAGGCTGGCAGAACATGCTAGGCTACAATGGTCAAGATAGGAAAACACAAGAGGTGAGCTCCACATTTATTCTGGCTTTTTCCCTGAGCACTCTTCCAAATTGCAGCACACAGAAAAAGAGTTCAAGGTGAATGTGGCAGTCTCATCAGGTAAAGAGACCTAAGAATAGAATCACAAAGAAAAAACCCAAAGAAACTTTATAAAAATTTCCCTCAAGTCAATATTTGATTCAAAATTTTCATGCATGAGTAAGAACCTCAGAAGAACAACAACAAAAAAAAAAGTTAAAAAAAAGAATCCTGGAAGAAAACTACAGCAGCAAGGCTAAAGAGCCAAACAGACTTTAACAGCTGTGAAGACACATATGGAGTTCAAGCAGAGTGGTCCTGGTACACAGTCAAGCTTTAAATTGAGCCCCCAGAGTAGCTGTGCCATAAGAGTAGGGGAAAAAACTTAAATAGACCAAACTTAACAATACCTACAATTGAGCATCAAAAGAATCTACATGCCTTCAAAAGGAAAACTTAACCCTCTTTGGAGAAAGGTAATAATAGTCCAAGGCTTCTAAAATTTTTCACCCACAATGTTCAGCATCAAATCAAAGATTATCAGTAATGAACTACCTGATTTCAAATTATACTACAAAGCTATAGTAGCCAAAACAGCATAGTACTGGCATAAAAACAAACACATGGACCATTGGAACAGAATCCAGAATCCAGAATCCAGAAATCAACCCACATACTTACAGCCAACTGATCATCAACAAAGGCACTAAGAACATATAGTGGGGAAAAGACAGCCCCTTCAACAAATGGTACTGGGAAAACTGGGTGTCCATATGTAGAAGAATGAAACTAGACCCTTAGCTCTTACCATAGACCAAAATCAATTCAAAATGGATTAAAGACTTATATAAGACCTGAAACTATAAAACTTCTAGAAGAAAACCTAAGGGAAACACTTTAGGAAGTAGGACTAGGCAAAGACTTTATGGGCTCATGACTGATCTTCCTATTAGGACCAAATTATGTAAATGTCATAAGCTAATACTTCCACCCCATCAAATCTGCTCTCTTCATAAAGGAGCACATGGTATGGGAGACAAAGACCCTTTGGAACTGTGAAGTCTTATAGGTCTTAGGGTCTCTGAAAACAGTCCTGGAAAATTCCAGTGGAGGGTATGGAACACACAAAGTAGCAAATGCCAAAACAGCTCTGCACCTACTATCAGGACAAGTCATGCAAAAAGAGAAGGAAGAAAATAAGAGTTATGTTTCTTTAAAAAGACAGTCCAGAAGTTTAGGCAACCCTTAAAATTCGAAATTGAAATGAAACATGACCAAGTTAAAAGAATTAAGGAAAAGTTTTAAAAAATAATGAGTTTTAAGTGAAGCTAAAACTTGAAAGAAAAAAAAATTAGACTGGGGACCCAAATAGCAGAAAAGAGCTAAATTCAACTGATATAAAGGTTAAACTATTTTTGACCCAGAAAATAGAATGAAACTAGACCCTTAGCTCTTACCATAGACCAAAATCAATTCAAAATGGATTAAAGACTTATATAAGACCTGAAACTATAAAACTTCTAGAAGAAAACCTAAGGGAAACACTTTAGGAAGTAGGACTAGGCAAAGACTTTATGGGCTCATGACTGATCTTCCTATTAGGACCAAATTATGTAAATGTCATAAGCTAATACTTCCACCCCATCAAATCTGCTCTCTTCATAAAGGAGCACATGGTATGGGAGACAAAGACCCTTTGGAACTGTGAAGTCTTATAGGTCTTAGGGTCTCTGAAAACAGTCCTGGAAAATTCCAGTGGAGGGTATGGAACACACAAAGTAGCAAATGCCAAAACAGCTCTGCACCTACTATCAGGACAAGTCATGCAAAAAGAGAAGGAAGAAAATAAGAGTTATGTTTCTTTAAAAAGACAGTCCAGAAGTTTAGGCAACCCTTAAAATTCGAAATTGAAATGAAACATGACCAAGTTAAAAGAATTAAGGAAAAGTTTTAAAAAATAATGAGTTTTAAGTGAAGCTAAAACTTGAAAGAAAAAAAAATTAGACTGGGGACCCAAATAGCAGAAAAGAGCTAAATTCAACTGATATAAAGGTTAAACTATTTTTGACCCAGAAAATTGAAAGGCTAAGAAAAGCAGAAGTAAAACCTATTAAGCTAAAAAAAAAAAAAAAAAGGTAACTTAAAGGGGGGGGGGGGGGCTAAAAGGCAGGGAGAAAAAGAAAAGTAGCTATGGTAAGCATGATTAATTACAGAAGTCCTCGGGTCTGCCCGGCAGTTTCAGAGGCATCTGCCATTGTAGCAGCAGGTGTTTGATCTCCGTAGAGCGCATGCATGTCTACTCCACCTGCGCCCTCCTCGTAGGTGGCCTCTCAGGAGGCACCTGCAAGGAATACAGCCTGGCCTCAGTATACCTCCCTGTTCCTCTGTCTTGTTGAATGAATAACCCTAGAGAACGGGGAGATGAGAACAAAACCCTCATTTAAAAAAGGAAACATCTGTTTACCTGGGTATGGTATGGGTCTGTAAAATCTAGTCTTTTACACAATTTTTGATGCCTGGCCATTGTCATCTCATAATCTAAGTATTTCATTAGCACCATCACCATCAAACAATGTATGATATTAATGCCAATATTGTCAATTGATACCTGCTCTGGGAAATGTGGTTAGAGCTCCATACCATTTGGATTTTACCAAAGTCAAAATTTGTGATACATAAGATCAAATTAAAATTCATCTCTGAAGTAGCCATGATGAAAAAAAGGGGGGAGGGGAGAGATTCGTTAAAAAAATAATAGATTTTAAAGTGAATGTTTAACCCAACATGCTATTTAAGGACTTACAAGCATACAATTAAATTCAGTGGATATAATGAGAAATCTTCCTTATCTATGAAAGGACTTCTCAATAACCTGGTTCTATCTCTAAGAAATACTATTAAACGTTGTGCCTTTAGGTAATACCTCAGTTCTGACCCTAAAAAACAAAGAGAAAAAAGTGAGGATACAGTATGTTTGAATGACAAAGCCAGACTTTAACGCTTGTGTTTAAAGTGGGTAAGAGTTAGGAAAACTTTAACTGACAAAGGAAGAAATTGTGCCTTTAGGTAATACCTCAGTTCTGACCCTAAAAAACAAAGAGAAAAAAGTGAGGATATAGTATGTTTGAATGACAAAGCCAGACTTTAACGCTTGTGTTTAAAGTGGGTAAGAGTTAGGAAAACTTTAACTGACAAAGGAAGAAACATCTCAAATTACATATTTCATCTGAGATGGAAACATTTTCCTGTAAAGCTGTGTAGCTGGAAACACTTTCTGGACAGGGCAATCCTAAAATACTACATTCCAGAATCATGAAATGAATAAACACTCTGCATTTCAAAATAACTGAAAATTACAGGGCATAACATCTCCCCCCACCCCCAACTGACTCAAACAGATAAAATAACTAGTGATGCCAAATTATTTGACTTAGCTAAACTAAAAAAGCAAATAAAAAACCTATTTTTAAGTGGCAGTATATATGGTAGGCAATAAAACCTCCATATATCTGATATGGTTTTAATATTTTCCTCACATGATGCTCCACAATTTCCACAATTTTTCAACTAAAGTCATTGAGGGTTGTTTTTAGTGGGGGGAAGGAGCGTTCAAATCTAGCACGTTTTAATACTGACTACAAAAAAGAAAAACACAAATCCAACTTTAAAACATTATTTTCTTTCTATTCAAATCAATTTAGAACTTTATATAAACTTTAATGTTGCAAGAGAATCCAGTCCATTTATGAAAATTACTTGTACAATCAAGTTCACCTAAGAAAATGTTGACTAAGCGATAGAAATCACAAATAAAACATTTTACCAAAGGAAAGCACAGATAAAACAAAAAAATGCTATCACAGGAAACTATGATCATCTAATATTTCTTTAATTCTAGTCCCATAGATCTTCATATGTTATGCCAATTTGTACCCGAGTTTAATGACAGAAAAGGCAACAATCTCAAAATTGGTGGTATACATTTCTTTACAATTTTTTCATATAAGGCCATTTATTAAAATCGACAAACCACAAGATGAAAATGAAGGCAACAGAAAAATTCAACTTTTCACAACCAAAAAAAAGTAGCACAGCCTTAACAATAATTTAGAAAAGCGTGTTGTAAAAGACATGTTACAGATCTGCATTCCATTACCCAACATTATGTCAACTCATAATTCTAAATAAATCTTTTTAAAATATGAGATTAAAAAATTATTTTCAGTGTATATGTAAATTGTGTTTTCTCACACAGTATGTTTATTTAACACAATATTTTGAAAATGGGCCATTTAAAAAGATACAGTAATTTTCACTTTCTAAGTTTCATTCAACTTTACTTAGGGTTGAATACACATGAAATGTGCTTTTAATGCATAAAAATCACAGTGGATAGCAGCAAAGAATGGGGGTTTGGGGGCATTAAGGAGAATCTGATAATTCACATTGTGATTATTCTGCACATTGATGAAAGATAATTCACACTTGTAAAACCTCAGGACTTCCCTTTTTAAAGAACTAAAATAAACCCAAGACACGTTGCAGACAGGTCCCCACCCCTAAACAAACGGATGACTCACACGTAAAACTGAAATAGTTATGGCAGCAAAAGATTTTGATGGCAATGAAAGTTTGTAAACTGTGTTTCAATCTCTTTTTCTTATTCCCAAAGTGCAAGATGCAGGGTTCTCCATCTTTCAGTAGTGCTTCTCCTGTAAATAATCCTTCATTTTGTTTGGCAAAGGCAGTTTCTGAATTAAGTCTATTCTGGTATACTGACGTATAACAAAACGACACAGGTACTGCAAAGAGCGCACCTGCATGAACCGTGACACTGGGTTGGTCAGTCTGACGGGGTAGGTGGCAGATCCAGGCAACCGAGACCTTGAATAACAAAAAGCTCCGTTTTCAGAGTCCCTGATTGAATGCTCAATTAGGTCAACTATAGACGTATGTCCTTCCACATCTGGCTGTTCATAGAAGCTAAACCTGCCATTCGAGTGCTCGATTCTCGTGTGAAGTGTCTTACCGTGGGAGCGAAAGCTCAAACTTAAAAGATACCGGTCGTCAGAACTATCCCGGACGAGGAAGGACCCGTCCGGCACGTTTGCGAGCTTCCCCTCCGCCTCCCAGCGCGTGATGGGCCCCCAGTACCAGCCCTGCTTAGCGAGTTTCTTCAGCTCCTCTGTGAGGCTCGTCACAACCATGGGACCGCTGCTTTGCACCGAGTCATAAACTCTGGCAACGCCGGGGGCAGAGTTGGGATCGAAATTCAAATGGCAGCGCATGCTTTCGGCCACGTGGGCGTCTGCGCCAGCGAGGCCACTGAAGTTCCTTTGGATTTGACTATTCTGCATCGGAGGTAGCAACGGGGAGAGCGGAGGGGCGTCGTCGTGACCGGCACTGGGGCTCTGCAACACGACTCCCGTGGTGCCGATCAACAAGCCGTTCACGGCCCGGTCCACGAAGATCTCCGGGGCCCCGAGCAGGTCCTGGTCTACCTGACTCTCGTCTTCGGGGAACGAGCTCCCTCCCACGGGAGGAGGCAGTGCGGAGACTTCCATGGGGGAGGAAGCATCCAGACAGCCGCCGCGTGGTCCCTCCAGAGCGTACATCCCCTCGTCTAAAGGCACGGTGTACTGAATGTAGTCCTGAGGCACGAGTCCAATAACGACAGGCACATGTTCATCCAGGTGCAGGCGCAGGTCTCCGTTCTGGGCCGCCGGGCTCTTGAGGGCGCTGCTCTGCTCCTGGCGCGTGGGCTCGGGCTGGAGGTCGTGGAAAGCCTTGCGGACGCCGTTCAGGGCCGGGCTGGGGCTGGAGCTGTGCACCAGGGCTTTGACTCTCACCTCCATCTTGATGCACGTCTCCTCGGAGTTGGTGGGTCGCAGAGGCCACGGTGTGGGGCTGTAGTGGTGACTCCGGAGGGACGTGGACCTGACCGGCCGCGGCGCCCTCACGTCTTTGAAGATGATGGGCGCCGAGGAGCAGGAGAAGGTGTCCTCGTCGGCGCAGCCCCCGGACGTGGCACTGGCCTTGCCCTTTGGCTTCTGCTTCGCAGAAAGCCGCCTTTTTAACGTACCCATCAGGCTTTCGCTTTTTGATCTGTTTTTCCCACCTTTTTCATCTTCGCTGTTGATATCACAGCTGGCCATATCTTTACCGTAGCAGCTACCGAATAAGGAATCATCTTTTCCAAAGTCACTGGCTAGTGACGGTGGTTGTACGACCATGAAGTCAGTTTCTTCTTTACTTTTATTCAAGTTAAAAGATTTCCGAAAGGTTTTAAGACTAATTTTCTTCATTATGACTAGTTACTTAATCCAAGGGGATCAATTTCTCTCTGGAATATTATCCCTAAACATCTGGAGAGGCTGCAATGCTGCATCTATGTATTTTTCCAGCTTCATTTAAACTTTAAAGCCATTTTCTAAAAAAAGAAAAAAAAAAGCACGTTATAAAATATTTCCACAACAATTTCATTTTACTCAGTTTTAATCCTTTAGCTTCTGAATAAGAACATCCAAGACTTTTCTTAAGAATGTCAGCTCTGTTAGGACAGAAATTTATATTTCACCCAGCAGAGGAGATCATTGCCTACTGCACAATGTGCACTTGGCAAATATTTGATATCTAAAGAACAAGCCCTAATCTACCTTCCTTTCTTTCTGCATCTTGCTTTTTTCTTTTATCCAGAAACTACAGGCCTGTGTTCATGTCCTTCCCAACTCTACACTGTACAGATCCAGATTTGTCTTCAGGACTAATTCTGACTGCTCCCTCTCTCCCTGTTCACCAGTTTGTATCCCAGCAAAACACTGCAAAACACTCAACAAAGAAGGCACTATATAAAACAGGAGAACAACAAGCCTGGTCAGTTTCTCAACAACTTATACATTTTTTAAAATACTTAAACATCTGCAAAAATAAGTAAAAAGAATTCCACAATCTGTGATAAGTTATCTAGAAATGTCCCTCTATACTCATGAGTTACTTGAGATACGGCTGATTCACCTTCACATCCCAAGCACAGAGGGGCAAGAAGCTGAATGCCTGCAGGCTTAAAAACTTGCATCTCTAGAGCACGCCCACTAAAACTAGTGTAGATCTACTTGGAAGAGGATTATGGAGGATATTTCCAGCATTATTTTTGCTTATTCTTTTTTGCAATTTCCCATGGCAAATTTTTACTTGTTTCCAGAAATACATTTTCTAAACTTTTTTTGTGTACTGTTTCATCACTGAAATGATAGGATTTCAATTCTGTGAAGATTTGCTGAAAGTTATTATTTCATAGGAAAAGATTTTGGTCCCATAAGTCATATTAATTGATCGTAGTAATACCGCTTTACAAAGACATTTTGTTTCAACTATGCATAACATTTTATTTCCTTTATGGCCATGTTCTGCCTTTTCTGCAACCATCAAAATATAATGCTGTAACAAGATGATTAGCTTGAACTTGAGCAAAACACCAATAAAACTAAGAGCAAGATTTTGACCTCCCAACCCAGCAGTTAAGCACTATTCAGTTTCTTGACAAAAGACCAAAGCTCTAACTTTGATCACATTCATTTATTCCCTCTGCATTTACTAAGCCCCCTACTACATGCCCAGCACTGTATGGTAATATGCAGACTAATAAATTATTTATGGTCTCCTAATCCAGTAGGAGAGACATATATATGAATGGATAAATTGTAATACAAACCCACTCATAATATAATGGTAACACAAGGTGGGAGTTGAGATGAGAGAGAAATCTGACAAATGTTTACTTTTAGTTATAGATAGGATTTGACTGGTGTGTAGATAGAATCTGCATGAAATCGTTCTACTAAAAACCACTCAGGTCAGATAGACTATCAGGGGATCAACAATACCATCCCTATAAAAGAAAGAAAGAATTTTTAAAAGTCTACTGCCATATACTGTGTTTTTGAACAGGTTGTAAAAAATAAATATTTATAAAGATTTGGAGCACCAGCTAATTTTAAACATTAAATTAAGCTGTTTATTAGACAAACTCACCGTCTAAATACCATGTCATCTAGCCAGGCATAAAGACGTATATAATAGCCCTGATAGCAGAATCAGTAACTGAGCTGAGGCGATAAGTATTCACACTTAAATTAACTCCACTGAATTTGGGGTTTAAATGGTTCTGCTTCCCAGTATCACATCCATACCCCAGAAAACAAAACGCTGGCACCCACAGTAAAAGTACTTGGCAATTATCTACTTGAAAATTATTCCTTTTTCTACTACCAATCCATATACAACTCAATACTAATATTAAAGAAACAAAATTCAATCATAAACATTAGAAACTATAAAAAGTTCTATTAGGCCATATGGTCGCCCATCTCTTCCCTTCATTTTCTAGGCAAAGATTACTCTGGAAGTTTTAAGAGTATCTGTTTTTCTGTTTGCACTTCCAAAAATATATGCCATCTTTTTATAGGATTACCATCTGTCTCATGCCTAAGTAAATGTTCTGAATCAGTTGAACTGCTTTTCTTATTGTAAAATTTTATGTTTACACATACACTTGAAAATGTGTGTACAGGTTCAAGGGACAATGTTTTGGATAATAAGGTGAAGAATACTTTATCAATATGTGCAGAAGATAACATCTTCAAATAATTTCACAACCTCTTTTTTTAAGAAAGGATTTGAGGTAGTTATGCCTGTCAGTCATTATAACCCCTAATGAAAAAATTAAACAGACAACTTTAAACAACTACTTAATCTTACAAGAGCAAAACAGATTTATTGCCCCCATTTTACAAATGAGGGAACTGGGTCTCAAAGAGTAAAATTTTCCCAATGAAGTTAAATAATCTGCTATTAGGAAACAGAAGACACAGAATTGGAACCTGACTGCTAACTGCAAAGCTCACATTCTTTCCCTATACCAAACTGCCCTGCCTGTCTGTCTACTGCTTAAATCAGCAGTTCTCAAACTATCTAGACTCAGGATCCCTTGGCTTTCTTAAAAATTATTGAAGAGCACAAAAAGCTTTGTTTATGTTGGTTATATCTACTGAAATTTATCCTATTAGAAATTAAAACTGAAAAGATTTGAAAATAATTACTAATTCATTTTAAAATAACAATATACTCATTACATGCTAACATAAGTAATATTTTCATGATAAATAACTATATTTTCCCGAACAATAAAAATCAGTGAAAGAAGTAGCACCATTTTACATTATCAGACTTAAGACAGCTGGACTCTCATGTCTGTTTCTGCACTGAATCTGTTACAATAGAGTCGTCCCCCTTATCTGCGGGAAAGGTGTTCCAAGACCCCCACTGGATGCCTGAAACAGCAGATGGTACCGAATCCTACATATACTACGTTTTTCCTATACATACATACCTATGGTAATGTTTCATTTATAAGTTAGGCACAGTAAGAGACTAACAACAATAATAATAAAACAATTGTGACAATACTATAGTAAATGTTATGTGGATGTGGTCTCTGTCTCTCTCAAAATATCTTATTGTACTGTACTCACCTATTTAAGGACCCGGTTGATCACAGGTAACTGAAAACACTGAAAATGAAACCACAGATAAGTGGGGACTACTGTATGTTTTTTAGGTAAAGTGTAAGAAGAAAATCCAGCCTCCTACAGATACGTAGTTGGAAAAAAGAGGAATACATTCTATTTAATAACCTTTCATAGAACTGTGGATATTTTTTCTTTGATACTATAGCAAAACTCAACAAGTGGTAGTTTCTTAAAAGCTTAAACTGCACTGTGAAATCTGAAACCATATCAAGAAATTTTTTTCTTATTACATGCAAATCCATTGGTCTATTTTGCATTTTGAATAAATCTTTTACACATACATGATTTTGTAATATCATGTAACAGTTATTTCTTTTTTGTTTTTTTTTTTTTTTCCTTTTTGTCTTTTTTCGTGACCGGCAACGGATCGCAACCCTCAGTGTCGCGCCCGTACCGGACCGGGACTGGCTACGGGATCGCAACCCTCGGTGTTGCTCCCGCACCTCGCTCAGCCAGTGAGCGGCCGGTCTGTATGTGGGATCCGAGCCCTCGGCGGGAGCGCCGCCGCACTTCCCAAGCGGCGCACTGTAGCAGTGCACCACCAGGCCAGCCCGTAACAGTTATTTCATTATACAACATCAAGAAGTCACATTTATGAATATCACCACTGATCTGGGATCCGAGCCCTCGGCGGGAGTGCCGCCGCACTTCCCAAGCGGCGCACTGTAGCAGTGCACCACTAGGCCAGCCCGTAACAGTTATTTCATTATACAACATCAAGAAGTCACATTTATGAATATCACCACTGATCTTATTAGATAAGTTTTTAAGTATTGGGAAGCAGGTAAGCCAACAGTGATAGATATGTTTTCCACAACTGTAGTTTTTGCTTGAAAGTTTGAATTTTATCACCGGCAATAATATTGTCAGTTATTTTCAGTGAAGTGGCAAGCTGACTTTGGTCACTTATGAGAAAGTATCTATTAAAAACCCAAGTTGAATAACTGTAGTGTGTCTGTCGGTTCTTTTAAGTAAAAGTGGTATTTTATGAACAAAGTAGCTAGTGCAGTCAGCAACTTAAACAACAGCAACAAGCACTTCCCCTCCAGACATCCCTTCCTTCTTCAGGGTGCACTGAAAAGTGTTTTCTATTTCCTTATCATGATAGGAATTTTAAAAAGATGTATACTCAGTTTAAAGATTTAATAAAATTGTAATTTTTACAGCTTCATCAATGGCATTCATAAGTGTAACTGGAATTCTCTTTTTTACTAAAGGTGCTTGGCAATAAAGAATATATTACTAGCCAAACTGGCCAGTCACCAAAAAAAAAAAAAGAATATATGACTACTATTAAATCACTACTATTACAGTGTGGTGCCACTGCCTTGATTGATAAGGTGCCATCAATTTCATGCACCACTGCTTTGTGCACCACCAGTGAAAATGTCAATGCAGTGAAAAAGGCAAATTATGTTTTAACATTATTATGAAAGGGGATCCGCAGACTACATTTTGAGAACTGCAGGCTTAAGTCATCTGTGAAGACAGTTTAAAAGAACAAAGAGAAAGACTTCTAATGTGAAGGAAAGCATCCACATAAAAAGTTACCAAGATGAGTTTATATTGCTGTCAATATCCCTCTGCACCAAAAGTTGATTTATCAGTTTCTGAGCATGCCACAGTTCATGCCCTTCCATTTCGGTTTCTTGGATTCTATTCCACTGTTCCTGAATTGATGAGTACACTACTTGCCATTCCGTTGGTAAACAAAGGAA